TGGAGAGGGCCCACATTTTCCCTTGTCTTCCTTTTATCCCCAGTGTACCTATAGAATCTTTTCTTGTTGCCCTTGATGTCCCTGGCCAGATTTAATTCCATCAGGGCTTTAGCTTTCCTAACCTGATCCCTGGCTGCTTGGACAATTTCTCTGTATTCTTCCCAGGCTACCTGTCCTTGCTATACACATTTAACTGTGTATAGTTGTGATATTTTGAAAGTATCTGCTGCTTTTGTTGTGGTAGCTGGTACTCTTTTTGAGCAAAATGTTATGTCTGTTTCGCTGGCAAAATACTGGTTTTATTTAATGAGGAGGGTAGAATGCAACAAATTGCCAAACTGTTACGCTTGCTGTTACTCATTTACAGTAATAGGATTATATGGCATCAGAAATTTGTGTATGATTTTGCTCTTAGGAGAAAAGGGAAATTGTCTTTTTATATTTTAATAGATTATTATTGAAACCATAAAGACCTTTTCTGTTAGGAAAGATGTTTTTTTTTAAGCTGTTGAACTGTTGTCTGTTGGATAGGAACCTGCTAACAGTCGTCTACCTCCTCACCTGATTGCACTTGACTCTGCTCTTCCTGGATTTTTTGATGACCTTGGCTACTTGGATTTACTACCATGTCGTCCTTTTGATACTGTTTTCATTTTCTACATGAAGGCGGGCCAGAAAACAAGCCAGGAGGTAAGTGAAAGCATAGAGTGCCAACTAGCTTATATTGTCTTGTTTCTAGTAATCCCCAAGTGAATAAAGCATTGCTGCTAATGACTAGAGTGGAGTATCAGAACCGGGGGTTCTGGGCTTTGTGTTTGTTTACAGTGTGAGCTGTAACAAGTCACTGTGTACTCTTTTCATCTGCAGGTTGAAGTATGTTACCACATTTAGGATTGTTGTAACATTCCAATGCAATTAGGTTAATCGGGTTAATTTGTGTGAATCTAAATTGTGACTTCTTTACACTGTGACCTAGAAACTCACTAAGACAGCTTATGGGCTCATTAGAAAAGGTGGTTTCTATAGTACCTTCTTCTTATTCCATTCATAATTTTCATAAAGAGTAGAAGTATAGCTTCCACAAGAAATTATTGTGCCATCTCCTCGTGTTACTGTGAATGTACAGTTGACAGAACACTGTAGCACCTTCTACTTCTGCGTGGAATACGCTAATTCCTGAAACCAGGATCGTGCTGTTTGAGTTTTCAAAGTTGAAGTTCAGAGCAGCCAGTACACAGTCTTTCCATCTCCAAAGTCAGCTACAAAATAAGATATACAAGGTTTGCCTTCCAGCTGAAATGTGCTCTTGCTGAGCTCACAGAATGCTTTTTTTTCCCATCTGATGCTTATATGCTCTTACGGATTTCGACAGATGAGATTACTTAGTCCTGCAGATCTTGCCGGCCTTTGGAAACCCAATTAGCATGGGTTTTGCCATGTAGATTTAAGAAAGTCTTGTATTTGGGAGATTCTGGACATGTTTAAACACAGTATAAAGATGCCACACCTGCTTCAAGATCCCTGGACATCTTGCTGTGATTCCTAAGCCTTTCAGGTTGTGCAAAGTCATAGTGGCAGTCAAGTTAATAACATAGTCATCTCTATGGACCTGAGCTGAGTGAGATACTGATACTGCTCCCATCTTTGAAAAGACCTGTGACTTATTTCTGTCCTGTTTCGTTTTCAATATTAACAATCAAGAGAGGAGGAGATCAAAGCCAAGTTGTGACACGGTTTCTGCTTTGAGCAGGGCTGGCTGCCTGGTCCCACTCAGCCATCTCTGTGTGTGTGAGTTCATGCCACTTCAGCTCAGGACCTCATTCCGTTCTGAGAGGTGACCTGCTGTCCTTTCACAAGGAGTGGTGTCAGCTATGTTTTATCTGATGCTGCTCAGCCCAGAATAGCGGCATCTAGCCTGCTGGTCATTGCATTAGGCCCACATATTTATCTGTGGTGGTAGGCTTTTACAGTTGAGAAGGGTCTCGTGGTATTTATTTATACAGGGTAATGAAACTGCCCGCACACTTTTTACATCATTATACTTCACATCATTAAATGTCCTTTGAAAATACCCCCTTGTCCTTGCTTTACTGTAAATTCTTTTTTTTGAATGGGCTCAGATATAAAACCGTATAGTTGTATAAAGCCTGAGCTTGCCTATTTTCTGAAATTGTCTTCTAAACTGCGCTTATCTCGATTCATTCTGAAGCATAGCTATGACTTCAGTGTGCTCAGTAATGAGAATAATAGTAATATTTCAATGCAGCATGTCTAGATGCTGCTGAATATTGTACAAGGCGTTAGGATAGGGTGCCAGGACCATGTCGATACGAGGAGCCTCCTGTCTGGAAGCTTTCCTTCCAGCACCTGTCCCTGTCCCTGCGGTTTCTGTGCCACTGGAGCCTGCATCCCAGTGTACTGCCCCCGCACAAACCAAAATCAAAGACGCTTTTGCCACAAAACAAATTCTCACGTGGCCCAGAAAGGATGGATGTATTGCACAGCACTGTCCGTTCCACAAATCCCAATGGTTCTGGTAGACCAAATCACAAATCATCCATGTCTCCCTGCGTGCTGTTTGGTGAAGGTCTTCAACTTTCAGCTTATCACAATGGGATAAAAATTACCTTTGGATGTGGAAACATCTTTATAAAAAGTAGGATTAAGGATTAAAGTGAACAGTACAGTGTGACATTTGATTGAAGTGCGTGCTCAATCCTGCTGAAAACTGTTTTGCAAAATCTGTTTCATAATTTAATGTGCAGTGAGGCCTGCCTTCTAAATTGCTGTATGTCGTGTACAGGTGAGTAGTGATAAAATACCTTTCTCCTAAAATTTCACCTCAGTTTAGTAGTGAAAATTGTCCAGAAAATTCTCATGTTGTATTTGGTGCTAATGCAGATTCTGCGCTGAACAGTTCTGTGGTTTATCCCTGATAAGTGGATAAATCTCAAAATTGCCATTTCTAGCAGTTTCATTAACTATTTTACAGGCTTTGGCAATGATGGCAGAAAGACAAGTTGATTGAATAGGACACTGCAAAGCAGGATGGGAGGATGCTGGACAGCAGGGAGTAGTGTCCATGCAGAAAGTCTGGGGTTCCAGGCTTGCTGAATAGCTATATTTGGGCAAAACCATGTTGGTGACACAAAATTTTAATTAAAAAAGTGGGGAGGGAGAGAGCTGCATCCTGGAGTCTCCTGTACCTACCATGGTGCTGCTGGTTGTTTTAGATCCTGAAGAACATGGAGTCTTCCAGAATTGTTCAGCCACACTTCCTGGAGTTCTTGCTGTCTCTTGGCTGGTCTGTTGATGTGGGGAAGCACCCTGGGTGGACTGGCCATGTCTCAACAAGCTGGTCAATCAATAGCTGCAGTGATGAAGAGGGACCTGAACAAGGTAATACATAGTAAATGGTGTAATGTTAAATTAAAATGTTTAGGCTCCTTTCTAAAGGAGACAATTTAAAATTTCTTGCTCCTGGATACCTATTTGAGCACTTGCATATTTTTTTTCAGATAAATGCTGATGTTTACTAGAAAGGAATGTGTTAAAAAAAAAAAAAATAGATTAAGCTTCAAGTCAGAGTGAGCAAAACTAATGTCTGTGTGTTGTCGGGAGGAAGTAGCCTCAGCAAGAAATACCTCTGTGCTATATTTTTAGCAGACTTGATGAGTCTTTAATATATTATCCAAAGCCAGTATTCAGGTGAAATTGGATACAGATGTGCTGCATATTGGCAAATAGACTTGAAATACTGTGTGATTTTTAGTGTTCTGTAAGTAGATTAAAATGAGATGTTGGCTAATAAGTTAGCCTTGTAATCATGCTTGGTAGGAAGTAATGATGACAAGCTGCTGTTTGTAGGTCACGGTGGTTGGAGCCCACACACAGCTCTTCTGTCCTGCTTAATTTACTCTGCTTTTTTCCACTGAGCAACTCCTTCTCTGGGCTTGTCATATACCACCCTCTCACCATTCTGTCAACCAAAATGATCCTCAGGGTAGTGAATTGCTATCCCAGGGTGGTGAACTGGAGGTCGGGTTAGTTTCTGCCTTGAACGACTTAATCAGATTACCTGGGATTCTGATAGTGTCTGGGTTGGTTTCAGTGTGGTTCATGGTCACTACTCCAAGTAGTGACTTGGTGATCTTCAGAGCGTCAGCCTTCTGCTGTGGGCCATACAAAGGCATTGAACAGGCTGGTCCAGCTTGTTCAACGTCTTTGATCTGGCATTTGCATCAGGTGCAACACCATTACTGCTGCAGTTGCTTAAGCAGCACTCTTGCTCTGCTTTCCCTTCACTGTGCCTTAGAAATGCTCTTCACCTGTAATTGCGGCCAACTAAAGACTTCTCTAAATAAAACTACAAATAATAGAAGGCTTGAAAAGTTGGGGAGAGGTTAAGAGAACAGAGGCATGGCTTTCTCTGAACAAGTCAGGAGAGGTTACAAAATGGCCAGGTCTTGGTTTAATTTTCCTTTGAGGACAGGGTCAGACTGTGCTTTACTTGGAGGCAAAGCCCTCTCCCTTCCCTTTGCAGTTGGATTTGTCAGTACAGCTGTGCAGAAGGCAGTGCCCTGAATTAGGTAACCTGTTTTGATGTGGGCTTTTTAACTTGGATTTTTGTCAGCCATTTGGATTAGATCACAGACCACCAAATAGTTGAATTAATTCAACAAATTGGGGGAAGAAGGAACAGAAAAAACATTCAGGGATGGGAGGAAGGACTACTTCTAATCTGGTTCTGCTGTTGGAAAAATCCATGAGTGGAGTTGTACCTTTAGCAAGCAATGGCTAAAAAACTGAAATGGTAGATTTAAAGTAGACTTGGCCCAACTTGTGAAGATTGCTTGCTTCGTTTTCTCCTTCAATCTTTGCTGTGACTAAAGCTATTTATTTTGTTAAATGTATTTTCTCTTTGTGGATGGCTCTGATGCTTGAAAACCCATTCAGGAGTCTAGCATCCTGGCCTGTATCAGAAATGGTGTGGCCAGCAGGAGTAGGGAAGTGATCGTGCCCCTGTACTCGGCACTGGTGAGGCTGCACCTCGAACACTGTGTTCAGTTTTGGGCCCCTCACTACAAGAAGGACGTCGAGGTGCTGGAGCGTGTCCAGAGAAGGGCAACGAGGCTGGTGAGGGGTCTGGAGAACAAGTCTGATGAGGAGCGGCTGAGGGAACTGGGGTTGTTTAGCCTGGAGAAAAGGAGGCTGAGGGGAGACCTCATCGCTCTCTACACCCACCTGAAAGGAGGTTGTAGCGAGGTGGGGGTCGGTCTCTTCTCCCAAGGAACAAGCGATAGGACGAGAGGAAACGGCCTCAAGTTGCGCCAGGGGAGGTTTAGATTGGATATTAGGAAAAATTCCTTCACCAAAAGGGTTGTCAAGCTTTGGAGCAGGCTGCCTGGGGAAGTGGTTGAGTCACCATCCCTGGAGGTATTTAAAAGACCTGTAGATGTGTGTTTAGGGACATGGTTTAGTGGTGGACTTGGCAGTGTTAGGTTTATGGTTGGACTTGGTGGTCTTAAAGGTCTTTTCCAACCTAAATGATTCTAGAATAGCTTCCAGTGAGACGTGATTAAAATAAATTCACAGGCATATGCTTTGGTTTTGTTTCACTGCGCACCCCTAAAAGCAAAGAAGCTCTTACAACAATTGGGTTTGGGTTGCTCCCTGAGAGCTACGGACTGGAGATGCAGGAACGCTTCCCTGATGGTGAAGCATGGCTTGGACGCTCCTGCGTGCCTCTGGCCACCTTTCTGTCAGCATTCTGAATTTCACTGCTCCGTTGGTTTTGCTGAGGCAGCTATCCCAGGAACCCTTTTGTAAACTGGATCAGAGAAATAATTCAGCTTAAAGTCCTTGCTAGTCTTTCTGGAGGCAGCATGGGGAAGGAAAAGCAGGGGCATGTGGTGTGTGTGCTGTAATTTCCTTACTGCATGGCTCCACCAAAGAATTGTTTTCTTTCTGTACTGTGAAGGCCTGATGTACTGGCCAACTGTGATGAGAGAATAAATGGGGGCTGAGAATGAGGAGCTTTCTTTTATTGGGTTTGATTCAACAGAGCCTTTTTCTAACTCTCCTTGCAGAAGAAAAGACAGAGAAGAGTCTATAGAAACTGGCTTGAATTCTAGAATAGTATCAGACTGAAGTTATAAATGTTAGAATCCTTTGGAAATTTAATGACTAACTTAATGATGTCTGTTAGAGCGAATGGTTAGAAATAGCTACTAGATGAATTCTTGTGGCAGACGTGCTTACTAGACTGCTCAATCCGAGGGAAATAGGGTATGCAGTACAATGGAAATATGTTCAAAATAAATCCTCTCCCAACCCAAAATGCCATTTCCTTCAAGGTAACAAAAAAGTTTCTGAGAATGGTTGTTAGCCATAAGACTTGACTGTGAAATCTTCTCATTTTAAAACGAGATTTTTGTGATTTCTTCTGAATGATTGCACCTTGTGTTTGAATGTCTTCTCCTGAGGCAGCGTATAAAGAGGTAGAGCTTCCTTTTGACTAAACTTTCCTTTTATGTCCATTTCAGATGACCTAATTATTTCAGAAGATGTTGGGGCAAGTATCTTCAATGGGCAGAAGAAGGTGCTGTATTATGCAGATGCCCTGACAGAAATAGCTTTTGTTGTCCCATCACCGGTGGAGTCCCTAAGTAAGATCACTCTGTACATGCTGTTGGCAAAAACCAAACCAACATTTTTTGTTGGAGAGCTATTTCAGAAGCAGAACCTAAATAAGCTAACTAGTAGTGTGTGTAGCAAGATCCTTGTCAGAAAACTACTCATGTTTAAATTACAACATCCTAATCCTTAGACTCCTTCCTAAGGTGGTATCTGTTCTGTGTCCCTTTTTCTCAGTCTCAATATATGTCCAGGTTTGCACAGCAGTATTGCTGTTACCCCGGGTGCATTAGGTTGGACGTATGGTTCACCATCAACTGGTGATGCATTTTTTTCTCTCCTGTCTTGATGATATGCTCCTGCAGCACATGGAGGAGCATGTGCACAACTGTTATGTAGGTGAGCAACAGCTTTCACGACATCTCTTGCACACTAAAACCAGTGTGCAGAAGTTCCCTGGAATAAAAGGGCTGTGAGGAAATGATAGCTATAGAAGGAGGAGACTGTATTCCATAGGAAATGGATGGGACACTTCTACATTGTTAGGGAGTGCTTTATATTGCAGTCTGTTTCTGGAATAACTGGCAGTTGTCCACTGCTGAATCCTCTTCTGCTTTTGAGTGCTATATTAACTTGACTGTGAATCTATGTATATTTAGTTTCAAAAACCTTACAACCTTTTTTAGTTTCAAAACCTTACATATGATGACATCTTAAGTTTTTTGGCAGAAGAAAAGACAAAACCCACCTTTCTTCTGGCTTACAGCTGATTCACTGGAAAGCAACGTCTCTGACCAAGAAAGTGACTCCAACATGGATCTGCTGCCAGGAATATTGAAGCAGCAGTCTCTGACACTTGAACTCTTCCCCAATCATACAGACAATCTTAATCCCTCCCAGCGGGTAAGGCAAAACTTGCATTGAAAAATGGCTTCCCCCTCCTCCCCCCCC